TGAAGACTGTATGGGCTACTTTTATGTAAACTTGACATAAGCTAGAGTCATTTGGGAACAGGGAACCTCAACTGAGAAAATGCCCTACTAGACTGTCTATGGTCAAGCCTGTGTGACATTTTCTTGATTGATGATGGATGTGGGTGAACAGATGGTCCTGGCTGCTGTAAGAAAGCAGGTGGAACAAAGCATGGGAAGCAAGCCAGAAAGCAGCACTCTTCTTGGTCTTGCATCACTTCCTACCTCTAGGTTCCTACCATGTTTGAGAACATGCCTTGACTTCTTTCACTGATTAATTATGATGGGAAACTATGAACTGATTTCATTAATATGCCAATCTCTATGTAGGTAGTCAATATAAAGTCAAACATAGGATCTAGTAAATTATACAACATATCTGTAAGTATATTATGATAATAAAGTAATTTAACTTGAGTAGTTTTTATTCCTAGTTTTTTTTGTTGTTGCTACAGTTTTACGGTTTCGATAGGCAACATAAATACTAACCAAGAAATCCAAAAAATCGTATTATTAAAGACTCTTACTCATCAGTAATAAGGGCCCTAAGAAATCCCAGAGCATAGCAAAGCCTCCATTTTTTAAACTTCAAGAAAATCTAAATTTAATAATGTTTCATTTAATAAGTCTAGAACTCACATAAACAGCAACCCCGCATCTAGACGGGAGAAAACCTACTTCCAACACCTCAAAAGAACAACTTAGTTCCTCTCCTAAAATATCAGTGCACAAGACTGGGCTCTGGATTCAGAGAGGCAGGGAGACCTCTGAATTCAAGGACATCCTGGACTCCATAGTGAGTTTCAGGACAGCAGGGACTACACAGAGACTATGTTTCAAACAAAACAAAACATCAGTGCAGAGACCCAACTATTTCACCACATGTCATCCACAAACTGAGTGGAATATTAAGGAAACTATTGATATTGTGGTCCACTTTGCCTGCTTATCTTTCTATTTACAATAATAATACCCTTTCACTTACATACTCCTTGAAAATGAGTCTAACCATCCAGCCCTAATAGGAATGGGATGTGTTTAACAAATTCACTCCTTGAAGGTTCAGGGATCTATGTGTAAGAGGTGACAGGAAGATTTTTAAGAGCCAGACATGGCAGAGGATTCCAAAACAAACCAGCATCTTCCAGGCACAAAAGGACTGATACACAGAGGCCCTAACAGCACACACAAGACCTGCATAGGTCCAAACCAAACAAGTCCCAGCAGAAAGAAAGGAAGTGGACACAAAGTCCTTCCTCTAACCAAGAAGCTATGTGTAATTAATACCTGCTCACAGAGGGAAACTCAGTCACTGGGTATATCAACCACACTCCAGGGCAGGTCTCATGCAATGGAGTGCCTGATCAATACCAAATGGATTCCATGCTTTTATGTATTGTTTTTGTTATGGCTTATTGGTTTTTGTTTTGTGTTTTGCTTCATTTTCTTGGTTTTTTGTTTTGAGAAAGAGAACATGAAGTCAGGTGGGGATCTGAAAAAACTCAGGGAAGGGGAAGAATATAACCAAAATATTTTGTAAGAAAAACATTTTTAAAAATCAATAAACTTGGCTATGACATAAAGTATTACTTCACATCTATATTAATTAGATAAGGCATAATTTAACAAGTAAAAGAAAAAGTAAATAGGTTCCAAGAGCAGTACGGTGTCAGCCTTTCCGGAAAGACAATGCCACCAATCATGTTGGCTGGTATAAAACAAACACAAAAGAAAAATAGTGACCCACAATAAAAGCTATGTAACAAAAGGAAGTTCAATGATAATGTATATCGAGTGAAAGTCCTTCTCAACAGACAATATAAATAAAGGCTATCAGAAGCCAGGAAGGCTCCACTCTACAATATCCTATCCTGACAAATAATGGTTTCGAAAATGTCCTAGATAAGACAAATTCATAGTCTTCATAGCAATGATAATATTTCATACGCCACTAAGTGAGGTAGGATTTCATGATATAACAATATTTGAATAATTACAACTTTGAATTATCCTACCCTACTTGCCATGCCATTCATACCAACCCACACTAACACTGCCGTTGTTTAATCCATCTGTTTTCTGATGTATTTAGTGTACTTATTTAAGAACCAAGATGGAGAGACCCTGCCCCACAGTCTCAGACAAACTGATACCTCTTCTTACTCCCTGAGGGTAAGAACTGCACTGGACTGGGCATGATGGTGCATGCCTTTGATCCCTGCACATAAGAAGCTGAGAAAGGAGGATAACAAGTCCCAGGCTAGCCTGGGCTAGGTAATGGAACCCTGTCTCAAGAATAAGTAACTGCAATAGAAACTGAAATGATGACTTTGTCCTGTTTATGAACATATTAAAATGTTTGTGTATTAAGCCCTGTATTAAAGCTTGATTTAATAGTATGTGGCCATGCATGTAAAACAGTAGCACTAGGCATCCTTTCAAAATTACGTGTGCAGTCCTAACAATATTATCCTTATGAACAAATCATACTCAATCAAACTGAGCTCTGGGAAAGTCCTTGAGTTTAACTGTCAAAGATCTGACCTTATAATTGATTATCTAACAGGCAAATACACAAGATCTCAGAGGTACAAGTATGCAGCTTTGTTTAACTCTATGGATTATAAGAATCCAATCAGAAAATCAAAGTAGTTCAATTATTTGTCTACCATTCAAGAAAAATAATTAAGTATAAAACAAACAGAATATACTGAACAAGCTAAACCTGTAAGAGACAGGTGACCAAATAAATCCTCTAAAATGCAGAGCAATCTCTGGTTAAATACTATATACTACCTACATTTATAAAATCAACAGTTTTAGAAAGCCCTCTTAGCTAAATAAATTATTCCTAGTCCCAGTGCCCTCCACTTACTTTTAGGTGTATGACAATAAGCAAGATACTTAACATGGCCAACGCTCTATTTCCTCATTCTCAAAATGAAAACTTACAATCACAGTGTTACCTCATTGGGAAAGTCAAGAAATCCAAGTAAAATATGTGAACACCGGGCAGCATATGGTAAGAACTAAGTGATACTTATTAATATTTCTTTTCAAACACAAGTTCTTTGTTGGTTTTTTTCAGGGCAAGGTTTCTGTGTGTAACAGCTCTGGCTGTCCTGGAACTTGCTCTGTAGACCATGACTGGCCTCAAACACAGAGAGATGCACCTGTCTCTGCCTCCTGGGGCTGTAATTAAAGGTGTGCACAACCACCTGGCTCAAAAACGAGTTATTAAAACTATCTTACTATCAGAAGAAATTCCCGGGTGTGTATCATCAAAGGAATGATCACTTGTACAATGCAGCAAGTATTCTTTCAGTAGGTGTTAATAATAACATACCCTCAGTAGATTACTATGACTGCTAATATATGCTTTATTCAACAAATGGAGAAAGCAATATTTTTCTTCAATAGATCACACAAGTATGTTAAAGAACACTTAAAAGTAGAATTCCGTATCTAATAGTATATGAAGTTCTTTTCTCCAGGATAGAAAAGCCACAGACATATATGATACACTTCTAAATCCATGATACACAAATCACTGAAGAACATTTTTCAAGAACTGCATATGAAGATAGTACTGCAATATTTAAGTAAATATTAACATATGCAATATTTCCAGGTAAGGATATATGTGCATAACTTACAATTATGTAATAAAACCTATCTAGAAAGTCACTGCATTCTCAACTTGAGATATACAGTGCATCTTCTCTCCCAAGTGTAAAAACTGTAAAGTGTATAGTCATTCATTCTAAAAAGCAGGAAATGAAAACCTTGTTGCAGACATGACATGCCTTTGCTGAAGTGCTGCTTACCTGTTCATAAACTACTAAAGGAAAACTCTGATATTACCATTATGACACAGAATCAGAAGAAGAAATGATACTCATTGTTTAACATTAGAAACCAATCTAACTTATTAAAGTATTATTTATAAGATATAGGAAATTATTATCATTATGAGTGTCATAAAAATTTACATAAGTAACTTGCTGTTTTCCAAATGCTCATATAATCTACTTTAAACAAAGAAGGGATCCAAATCTAAGATGCTATTCAATTTTATAAACTTTCCTAAAAGCATTCAGTGGTGAAATTGACTCACCACTAAAATCAAATAGCTCCATCATTTATTTTAAAACAAGAAATGCAGACCTGCCTTTAGAGAGACAGAAAATAATGGAGTTAAGTTTAAAAGTTCCATTTTTGTTTATATATGAAACACTATCACTAATGAACAAATGACTCACAATGGCCACGTACACAATACCTTGACACCTTATCACACCTGAGTAACCATAAAAAGGTAAATTTAATGTTAAGCAAGAAAGCATAGCTAAAACCTCATCACTGGCATAAATTACCAACAAAGTAAAAATAAAAACTCCATGGCACTGGGATGAATATACTCTCTGCCTTAGAGCTAATACTTTAATTTTCAAGAACCACAAAGAAAAAATCAAAACTAGTCAGTAACAATGCAGCGTCTAAAAGCAATAAACTCAAAATTAAGTTATAAATAATTTAAAACATGTCATGAAGATGTATTAATAATTCATCAGATAAATAATTTACTAAATAATCAAATAAATAAATAATGAAATACATAAATAAATCAGCAAATAAATAATTCTGCAAAATAACCTAAACAATAAGCCACCCAAACAAATCACAACCTAGAAAACTACAATGACTTTCTGGATTCTGATAGTTTTAAATAAGCAAATGTACACAGAATAGATCAATCCTTGTTAGAATTAGAAATATTTTTCAATGCTATTGGAAAAATCCTCATTTTAATACATGAGAACACATTTTCAATTTTTAAAAGCAATACAGGACTAGTTCTTATAAATTATTAAGATTATTATAATACCCACTTCTATATTTTGCATGTATCTTTAACATATTTTCCCTGGAACAAATGGACATGAAATATTCTTAAACTTCTTTTTCAAAAAGACACTTACAGTGTGACAGTGCTTCAGCCTATCTGACAGTTTTTCTGTCTTCACCCAGCCATTAGAAACTTTCTGCAGAGGGACAACAGTAAGAATAACATTAGTTAGTACGGACAGCATTTCATTCACATCTAAGCAACAATTTATGAATCCATAAAATAATGGAAAGTGAACTGTATTAGTCAGAAACTGTGTCAAGTTTTAGAAATCCAGCCTCAAAGTTGAGCTTTCTCTATGGGAACTGAAATACAAGCTGTAACAATTTGCAGGGTTTCAGATATGAAGACAACACAAAGCAACTGGTTGACATCTAAGGTGTCATTAAATTTGAGAACCTCAAAGTCTTGGAACGTACCCAATGAGATTACTTAACTGTTACAATCTGAATTTAGTCACAATTTAATTAGTATACCATAGGGGTCAAACTACTAGTGAGACATAAATTAGTCTTCACTGAACATTTTCTAAAGTTTCTCATATATTCAATATAACACAGCATTCTTGAAATCTTCCTGATTTGTTCATAAACCTTCAGGATTCTGTTAGATCTATGTTCTTCACTTATTTAACACTTCAGTTATAAACAGTCTTAGAAACAGCACAGTAATGGTTTTAATTTTTTAGCTATCAAAAATTTTTCAAAAATGCAAAAACATTTTGTCATACAATATATATCCTTCAATGTTTTATATCTGCCTTTAAAGCTATCAAATGTTTCCTGAAACAGTATTACTAAAATTACTTGAAGTCTGAAGGGATGGCTCAGTGGCTAAAAGGGGCACTTCGAGAGGAACAAAACTCCATTTTCAGAAGACAATACAGGCTGTTCACAACCACCTACACAAGTCCAGCTCCAGAGTAAGCAATGCAATGCCCCCGGCTTTTTGAAGCACCCCCACTCATAGGCATATCAACCAAACACAAATTAAAAATAATCTTTAAAACACTAAAAGCACTTGTGATAGCTATTCTTGCTTTTCAAATTGACTACATTTGGAATGAACTAAACTCCAAAAGGCAAGGTATACCATGAGGGATTCTTTTTTTTTTCTCGTTTAATCATTTGAAGTGGAAAGAAGCACTTTTAATCTGAATATTTTGTGGTGGAGAGATCCACCTTTAGTCTGGGCCACTCCTGCTGGTGGCCTATAAAAAAGCCATGCAAGAAGGAAGCTTGCTGTCTTTGCTTGCATGTTTTCCTCCACACTGAAGAAGCCATCCCTTCACTGGCAGTGGGGCTACTTCCTCAGGATTCTGGCGGATCCTGACGACCAGCTGAGACACCCAGCTGGCATATGGGAATCTCAGACTTTTTCATTGTAGAGAGCCATTGTTGAACTAGCTGGACTACAGTCTGTAAGCCATTCTAATAAATCTCGTGTCTGTGTGTGTGTGTGTGTAAGTTCTGTTCTGTAAGTTCTGTTCTTTTAAGAGAAGAACCCTGGCTAATAAAGAACTCAAGAACAAAATTCAGCAATCATCAAGCAATTCTTAAAATTAGGAATTTTCCGTGTCATTTTAAATATTTCCTTCTCAATGCCAATTATTCTTCAGTCTGAAATCCACTTTTCACTTTTCAACAGACTTCATTTCCACCAGAACACAATGTGGGTTTTTTTCCTATCTATGACCTAAAACCAACAGCAACCTTAAAAATTAGGACATACCTCTTCCAAATCAAAAATATACTAATAACCAAATAGTGATTAAACAACAAAAATCCAAAAGTGTATAATCAAAGGCTGATTTGGCACCCTCTCCAACTATCTGTAGCATGTTTCTTTCCATCTTTCTATTCTGCCTCCTACTGATCTACTCAAAGCCACATGATCTTCCAAGTGCACTGTGGGAATTACAACTAATATATGCACATTGAAGCGGGAGGTCCAGTTCCCTTGTAAATGTCACATTGTATTGTATTTTATACACCATCAACACTATATGGCAAACTATATGAGGCATCTACTAAAAGAGAGATAATAATCCTGTACACAAAATGAAAAAATATATAAAGGTTTTAATTACAAAGGATCACTTTCTACCGACAAAAATTAAGGAAAATATAAATATTAACAAAAACAAGTAAAATTAGAAGGATAACCTCAGAATAGAGTACATGCCCATGATGTTTTGATCAAATGCACCTCTATTCATTCCCCTGTCCTCCACTCCTCCTTCCCAACTTCATGTGCTCTTTTCTTCTTGTCTTCTTTTCAAACCACTGAGAACACTTTTGCTGCCTTGTATGTGCATGGGTAGTGTCTCAGGGGAAAGAGTCTCCTTTTTTCAGTAGCTATTGCCAATAGTTTCTCAACTAAGAATGAGTTTCATGAACTGTGCTTTTACAAAATAGGGTGATTATAACAATAATATGCTGCACATTTCAAAAAGGTATAATGGTACTGAATGTTTTCACCATAAAGAAATACATGGGGCATCAAGGTGGCTTAGCAGATAAAGGTATCTATCATCAAACCTGACAACATGCACTCCATCATGGGACCAAAATGTTAAGAGAAATAACTGCTCTCTTAAGTTGTCCTCTAACCTACACACATGCACACATGAACACACACACACACTAGTATGCACACAAGCATGCATATGCAGTAATTTTAAAAGGTAACAATACACACTTGAAAATGTATATTTAACTCACAATACAGATACACTTAAAACACATTATTAGTATTAAACATTATATATATAATATTTATCTTTGCAATATCAAATTTAGGGGCTATGTATATATCTCAGTAGTAAGAGAATGCCAAAAGACCTTTTGATCAATCCCAAGTACTTTAGAAAAAACAACAAGAACAAAATGTTTCAAATGCAGAACTGATTTGCAAACATTTTAGAAAGAAGAACCAAATATTAGCACATAAAATATGCTTCTTGCTTTGCTGTGGTCTTAGACTGAGACAGGAGGATCACAAGTCTGAGGCTATCCTGAGGCCCACCAAAGGTTGTACTTCTCTTTTTGCTGTTGTTGTTGCTGTCTTTTAGGCTTTATTTTTATTTTTAAAAATCATCAAAAACTATTTTTAGAACAATAAACTTAACTACTTGTTGAAATGCTATAAGGGATACACAACTGGTATGAGTTGTCTGTCCTGTTTCTCACAAATTCTATACGGACTATTCCAATGTGCATCAAACTTCAGGAAGCACTGAATTAAAGAGAAAATACAACACAAATAATATAAACACACAATATTAATAGTGACTTAGCTATGTCACTATTACAAAGTAAAACTAAATTCTATTTTCTCTGTTCATTTTATTCCTCTCTAACGTTCTATAATGAACATATACTATGCATTTTTTCATAAAAGATTATGGTGTAGGCAAGGAAGCACGACCGACACCTCAAGGACCATCCATTCTGCTGGCAGACACAGTCTGAGCAGTAGAACAGCCTACACAGCAGCCTGCACCTGTTGAAGAGCCTTCACCTCTTCCAGGCCCCACTCCAAGCTAGCAGGTCTCCAGACACTTGGTATATGGGCTGGAGTAGCACACCCAAGTGAGGAGTATGCCATCTCCAGAATCCAAATAGGCCCACCAAAGGTTGTACTTCTCTTTTTGCTGTTTTTAAAAATTAATTTTCATTTTACATAACCCCAGTTTCCCTCCTCTCCCCTTCTCCTGCCTTTCCTGGGGAGTCAACAAAGTCTGGTATACCAAGTTGAGGCAGGATCAAGTCCCTTCCACCTGTATCAAGGCAGAGCAAGATATCCCGCCATAGGGAATGGGCTCCAAAAAACCAGTTCATGCACCTAGGATAGATAGGTCCTGGACCCACTGCCAAGGGCCCCTACCACAGATTAAGTCTCCTAAATGTCACCCAGCTGTCAGTCCATGAGCTCCCACTAGCTTGGGTCAGCTGTCTCTCTGATTTTCCCTATCATGATCTTGACCCCCCATGTTCATACGATTCCCTCCTCCCCCTGTTCAACCGAACTCCAGGAGCTAAACCCAGTGCTTGACTGTGGGTCACTGCATTTGCTTTCATCAGTTACTGGAAGTAGGTTCTATGATGACAATTAGTATAGTCACTAATCTGATTAAAGGGGAAGGCCAGTTCAGACAGCCTCTAGCAGGAATCACTCTTGTGGATACCTGAGAATTCCTCTAGCACCAAGTTTCTCCCTAACCCATAACGGATCCCTCTATCATATGTCTTTCATTGTTCCCCCTCTCCATAACTCCCCCAACTCAGTCTTCTTGATCCCATCCCCAATCCCCTCCTCCCAGTTTATCCAGGAGATCTTCTTAACTATTTTCCCTTCCTGGGGCCTTCCACATGTGCCCCTCTTAGGGTCCCCTCTTTAATGGTGGGAAAGGTCAGGTACATAATTTATCCTTCACCCTTAGAAGGAATATCTATCTCTGCATGCCCCACACCACTAAAACCCCAAGAATTTTACTGAAGTAGAAAGCCCTTGAAATTTGGCTGGATTTATTTCCCATCCTCTGCTGCACATGGGTTACCAATAAGTTCAAAGTGTTTGCTACCTTCTGCTCTCTTGATCCAATGAGCATAATGTCAATATAGTGAACCAACGTGATAGTCTGTGGAAGAGACAGATGATCAGGACACCTCCTGAACTAAGTTACTACACAGGGCTGAAAAGGTATAGTGTTGGCATTGCCAACTGAAAGTAAATTGCTTCTGATGGTCTTTATAGACAGGTACCAAGAAAAAGGAATTTTCTAGATCAATAGCTGCATACCATGTACCAGATGTGTTAATCTGCTCAAATAAGGATACCACATCTTGTATAGTAGCTGAAATTGGAATCACTACTTGACTGCGCTTTCAATAGTCAACTGTCATTCTCCATGAGCCATCTGTCTTCTGCACTGGCCAGACAGGAGAGTTAAAGGGAGATGTGATAAGAACCACCATCCCTGCATCTTTCAGCTCCTTCACGGTGGCATCCATTTCTGCAGTTCCTCCAGGGATGTGTTTTTTTTTTTTCTTTTATCCACTGTTTTCCCTGGCAAGGCAACTTTGCAGGCTTCCATTTAGCTTTTCCAACCATAATAGCCCTCACTCCACAGGT